AAAAAAAAAAAAAGAAAAAAAAGGAGAATGATCTTTATACTGGAAGGAGTGTATTATCAAAGTGGGAAAGTAGGGCTATTTTACCTGAGCTCAAGTCCACAGTTCAGATAAATTACCTTTTAAGATAAAGAAAAGATACGAAGACCATGAAGCACCTCATTCCTATTCTCAAATATCTGAGAGATTGCTTTGTGCAGGAAGGACTAGATTTCTTTTCATAACTTCAGGAGCAAGTCAGAATCAAATGGAGGGATTTATGGAGAAAAATATTTCAACTCACTCTCACAAATAGGTGCCTCCTTGTCCCATGTGACATTATTGCCCGAGAGGACACAAACAGTAGATGGGGAACCAATGAGTCGATACCTAAAGCAAAGAATGAAACATGATTATACTCCACACGTATTAATATTTCCCATTTAAATCACCATTTAGAAAATAATAGCAAGTAGACATTAAAAATTACTGGACAGATTGCAACATGGCAGACCTTGGAAGAAAGAAACCCCGTCTCTATCTGCTAAATAGTCTTTTATTTTAAAGGACAAGTTTAAATTTTTACCTCTTCAATTCACCTATATTCCTAGTCCCTCACAACTGAATGAGCTATTTCCCTTATTCATCATGGGACATTCCAAAACCATGATTTTGGTCTTTAAGGAACCTCACAGAGTTATTTTCTCCATGCGTACTTCATCCAGGAGATAAGCTCCTTGACCGGTTGGGAAGATGTCTTATTGAAATACGTAACACTCTCCAGCATATAGCTTAAAGACGGTCAAGCATGGGGTGCTCAAAAAGTATCTGTTGCATGAAGGAAAGAATGATGGCTTTACCATGAAGAATCAGTACATGAGAGCCAGAGGAGACGGCTGAACATCTTCACACTTTAAATATAAAATGAGAAGCAGGACACTCACTCACTTTGCAATAAAACTATTCACAGGAGGCCACACAACTTGGAACATTTCATTATCATTTATTTTTTTATTAGATATCTATAAAGTTACCATGAGAAATGTCACGGAGAATGCTTAGCTAAGATACTCATGTGTTCTAGCATACAGAAGGGCTAAACGTGGTCAAGTAAAAGTTAAGGGGCATAATGCATTGTCGTATAACAATGAGGCAGTTCCTAGAAGAGCGAAGAATGCTTTCTCTTGATTGTGTAAGATATGTGATCAGGGAAGCAACCGTTGGTAGCAGAGACAACTGGTGTCATCCTCAGTATCCACTTTCTTCTCCTTCATTAGTAATGGAACCTTCTATTTTTAACTAGGCCATTGGCCACCTGTAATGAAAGCTTCACTTCCCACCTTCACTTACAGCCAGGTATAGCCACACTGACTTGTGGCCAGAGGAATGTAAGTGGAGTGAGTGTCTTGTGCAACTTTCGTAAGTGTCTTTAAAGGGGTTGGAGTTCCCTTCTTCCACTCTACCTCTTTGCTGGCTGGAGTTTGGACCATGAGATGAGATGGACTCTTGTTTTGAGAAGGTCAGAGTGGCAAAATAGAAGGCACTTGGGTTTCTGTGGATTATGGAGTCACCACATATTTGAACCCTGGACTGCCTATCTTCAGGGTTTTTAACCTAAGACAGAAGTAAACTACTACCTATGTTTAAGATCCTGTTGTGGTTTTCTTCCCTGTCTTTCACTGCTGAATCTAATCCTAACTGACATACCAGCTCTTCCCAAAACAGTGACATGAAGCTGGAGGGAACCACGTGAGGATGGCAATGACAGTGAATGTTTTGGAGACACAGTGAGTCACTTTTATGTTTGGGTAGTGGTTGAATTTTACTTATTGCTAATCTGTTTAGTATTAGCTATGTTGTCAAATCTTTTCAAGTATGCCAGAAAGCCCTTAATCTTAAAAATTGCTGCAAACAAACAAGTTGAGAACCACTAGAATAAAGGAAGAACATGATAATCCTTCCATTATGTGCATTTCCCTCTGCCTGTATCCTATCATACATTTAAAAGTTGCCTTAGGATCCCAGGATCATGGGTGTCCTCTGACTTTTGACCTAATAGAGGTTGTTCTTAATATGCTCACTGTGGCTAAGCTAGAGTGGTAGAGTGAAATAT